ACTAATACAAACATGGAAATTCCATGGTAGTGTGTAACCCCACCATGAATGGAAAGGTCCTATCCTTACAGGGAGCTTTGATTGCTGTATTTTAACTGCAGTGTAATTGCTGGCACTGCGGGGAAACAATACACTCCAGCGATACTGGCCTTACAAAACTTTAGTATTCCAGGTCTAGATCTGCCCAGACCAAGCCTCACTCTAGCACGTTTCACCCAAAAAGGGCTTAATCATAGGGTTGAAACATGTCAAGAGTGAAGCTTGGTCTGAATGGATCTTCTGTGATCGAATCCTGGGATAATAAAGCTTTGTGAAAGCTGATTTCATTGCAGTGAAGCCAACTTATTTGTACACCTGAAAGCACAGAAGTGGGAAAATATAGGCTGTGAGCAATGATAAAGACTGAGAAGAGAGTCGTGCGGTTTACAAAGGGAGGTTAGGACCAGGACATCAGTGTGGGGACCAGGCAAGCATTGAATCTATTTTCCCCAAAAGCCCCCATAAACAGATGGCTAATTGGCTTTCAAATGAATTGGGCTTTAAAAAAAGTTACAAAAAACTATACTTTTAGCTGAAAACAGCTAAACACTGGTATTCAGACACTTCACAGGATATAACAGATGATAATATTCAAAAATCTAACACAGTGTCTTACAGTATTCACAGTATTTCAAAAGGTCAAACAACAGAACATCTATCACTTTCAGGCTGTTACCCTGATTTTAGATCCTACGGCAGTACAAAACCCAGCTGGACAATAAAATGTGCAGCAAAGCCAACATTAGAACACTAGTCATCTAAAAAAACATGTTATAAAACAACCCCGCTAAAAAAAAAGATTTCTTTTGGTGGAATCTTAAGCTTGTGTTTAGTGGCACTTATATACAACACAATAGGTGTATAAAATGAAAACACAGTGGGTATAGAAAATATTCACCCCCCTTTAAAATAATCACGTTTTGTTACTTTGCAGCCTGAAAATGAAGACAGGCACAGTTTTTGTTTTATCCAGCTGTATTTACTCACTTATAAAAATCCAAGTAAAAGATGTAACACCAACATGTCAGAAGAAAAAAAAACAGAAGTTGGAAAAAGGATCAGCCCTTTTTGTCAGTATTTTGTTGGACCACCTTTTGCTTTATATGACAGCCTTCAGTCCTTTGGGATATGTCCAGGGGTGGACTGACAACTCATGGGGCCCCCAGGCAATAGGGGATCATGGGGCCCGTGTCCTCACCCACACTCAAAAAAGCCTATGAAAAAGCCAATGAAATGTACCAGGGGCATCTCATGGGGCCCCCTACTTACCCCGGGCCCTCAGGAAGTGCCCGAATGGTCAGTCCGCCCCTGGATATGTCTCTACTAGCTTAGCACATCTAGACTTTGCAATATTCGCCCTCTCTTCTTTGCAGAACTGTTCAAGTTCAGTTACATTTGATGGTAACCGTTTGTAGACTGCAGTTTTCAAGTCATTCCACAGATTTTCAATGGAGTTTAAGTCTGGACTGTGACTAGGCCATGCAAGGACACTCACCTTTTTCTCCTTCAATCACAGTGTGACCATTTTTGCTGTGTGCTTTGGGTCATTGTCATGTTGGGAAGTAAACATTCTTCCCACTGACAACTTTCTGACAGAGGGTAGCAGATTTTCCTCAAGAATCTACTAGCATTTTGCACCAATAATTTTTCCTTCTATCCTGACAAGTACTCCAGCCATTGCTGCACCCCCATAACAGGATATTACCTCCATGCTTTACTGTAGGAATGGTGTTATTTGGATGGTGAGCTGTATTGGATTTCCGCCAGACATATCGTTTACTATTGAGGCCAAATAATTCAATTTTAGTCTCATCTTACCATAACACCTTATTCCATGTGGCCTCAGAATCTTCAAGGTGTGTTTTGGCAAAGCTCAGTGGTGACTGCATGTGGCCTTTCTTGAGGAGTGGCTTTTTTCTTACAACCCTCCCATATAAGCTGGATTTGTGGAGAATTTGTGATATTGTTGTCACATGCACACAATGACCTCTCTTTGTCATACATTCCTGCAACTGCTTCAGAGTTGCTGTAGGCCTTTTGGTAGCCTCTCTGACCTGTTTTCTCCTAGCTCTTTCATCCAGGGTGAAGGGTCTGTGTTATACCAAATACCTTCCACTTCTTATCAATAGACTCCACTGCGCTTCTAGGCATTGATAAAGCCTTTCAAATTTTTTTCTATCCATCTCCTGACTTGTACCTGTCCGGAATAAAGTTGTGGAAATCTTTTTACAGTGCCTTGCCACCCATAGTGGATTGTCTGCTTCAGTTGCACTACTAGGGACTGAAATGCTCCAGGAAAGCTCTTGCTGAGCTATTCAAAATGACCTCAGCTGAAAGTCAAATGGCTTTGTGTGCCATTGCGAAGGTGATTAGCTACACCTGTTGAGTTTACAAGTCATTTTTAGGAGGGTGGGTTATCCTTTTCCAACTCAGTGATTCTGTTTTTGAAATGTTGGTGTTATATCTTTCACTTGGATGTTATAATTTGTACTGAGTAAATACTGCTGCACAAAAAAAAACAATGTGCGTCTTCATCTCAGGCTGCAAAGCAACAAAATGTGATTATTTTATAGGGGCAATTCTTTTCTATATCCACTGTATTTTCTCTGCTAATAACAGATTCAGTTTTGTTTTGTCTACAGACTGTGATCACAGCCACGGTCTACATTAAGACAAATGGCCAGAAAATTGTCAAGTACTCCAGGAACTTACTTGTGCTTAAAAGAAATCAATGACGATGTTTGTACAGCTTTTAATGGGCAAGCGCACCTTTAAAATAGAATCCTCATCCCCTCCAACACTAAATTTGTAAATTGAAGCACACAGCTCAGAAGTGGATTATATTAGGCTTAACACTTCCCAGGACCAGTATAGCATTTCCTGCCCCTGGCTCTTCCAGCTGACTGAGCATCTAAACACAGTGCTGAGTCTGTTCATAGAGAATTTGCTGGACCTAGCATGTGCTCTGAGCTACAGCCATGGTTGGCCATCATTCTCTATGGCCTTACCCAGTGATTACTTATGATTTCAATAGCTTCTGGAAGCACCAGGGGAGAAAAACACTGCACTGGCAATGTAAGCTTCACCATGCCCGTAATGATGGTAAATGGATACATTTCAGAATTGCTGAAGTGGATGTAAATATCTGGATGAAGCTATAAAAGGTGCACTTCTCCTTTAAAAGTGTCGGTTACCAAAAAATAATAAATGATCAGCACTTTAAAAGGAGCTTTTCAGGATAGAAATGCAGGAGCTGTTACCGCCAGCTTGTCTTGGAAGATTTATGCTCTTGGGCAAAGTATGTGCTTTTTTGTCGTCAGACATGCTTGTTTACAGGTCCATGAATCACTAAGTAGATAAAGTGTAGGATGATTATCCATCTTCAAAAACAAGTCCAAAATGTCACCTCCAATGTTTCTGATTGGTACCTTGGAGGTTAAATCATGCCCTACGTATCAGAGAAGCTGAGGAAGCTATTTGTATGAGTGGTGAAATGTCTTCAACACTTCTTAACAGGTCCAGATGAAAGTGACTACTAGCTATATACCAAGATCTGGATGAGTTAAAACCTTCACAGACATGGGGTTGTAGAAGAATATGCAGTGCCCACAGCACATAGATTATTCCTTTTTACACTCACATAGTGTACAGAAGGAAAGGAATCTGACTGATTGCTATGGTCAATACAGAACATCACAATAGACCAACTGTGCTAATACTGCAGCTTTACAACCATACTATTTTTCCAGGCAGTGTGCGTCTCTGATGCATGTGTCCAATGGCTGGTCATAAGTGTACAATTTACAGGCATTTCTAGCAAATTACAATCTAAAGTCTACTGACAGTCAGAAACCTGCAGCATTAATGTCATAAGTATAGCTACACCAAGGCCCTATGGTACTGCGTGCCACTAGGAAGTGGCCTGCATAATGCATCTGTGACAAGTCTGCATCCAACGTAAGTCAAGGGTCCTAAAAAGGGCAGGTGCCACAAAAGTATAAAAAGCAAGTGAAGCTTTGGTGAACATGTACTAGAGTGCAAATATACAGGATTCTACTGTGGTTGGGGTGATGAGATGCATGGAGGTCTCTGTTCTGGGAAAAGGAGGGACATTTGCATATATTGCTGCCTCACTGCCTTCCTGAGACCCATGCTATGGACAGGGGGTGAAAAAAAGAAAATGCCATACACAGAACTAATGCAGGCTTACAAATCTGATGCACCATGACCTCACTGTGACCCATGCACGTCTCTTTAGCCCATGTATAATACGCCATCATTTCTCATTAGGTAAAAGCATACTTTAAAATACATATCCTAGAGTGCGCTGTTCATCCGCAAAGATATCTGTAGGTGACCACCCAAGCTTGACCTCAAGACATTCCCGATTCCTCTCAGTCCATGAATACAGGATCATTCCATGAAATGGCTTCTGTCACAATGCATAAACTGTTGTATATCTTCATATACATATTCAGTGGAATACATTTATGGAATATAGCTTACACACATTAAAGGACTATCATTAATGTTATACGCTATTAACTATTCCAAGTACTATCACCTTCATTTCCCTGAGTTTCCATTAAATTCTATACTGTGGGAGTGTTAGTCTGATAAAATTGTGGCTACAAAATCTTGTAATGCCCATTAGAATTGCAATTTAGATCTCAGTGTTTATCTTCTACATTAGCTAAATTATACCTGTCATGCGTTTTACTTAACCTATGGCTGAAGCATGCAAATTACATGCTTGCCAGCACAGGCCATCCTGGGACCTTTTATCATGGAGTTTCCCCCTCTGCATACATGCCACCCTCTCTAGGGAGACACAGAAGGGGCTGAGCAAGTTCCTATCATTACAGAGGACCTGATAACTCGGCTGCTGTGCTACTACTGGCAGATCCTGACAGGTACTCCTAAAGTTTCTTCTCAATGACAACTTTTTTCATATTCTGTTTTCAGTCAGACCAGTCATTCTCATCAAATTCTGAATCCTCTTCAGAATCGCTGTATTCAACAGCAATCCGCCTGGAAAGGATGGTTGCTACATCATTTCCAACTGGCTCCCGCTTGGCTTCCTGTTCACGCTGTTCTTGTACTTTTTTCAGCTGAATTCCTGTACAAATTAATTAAAATGGTGTTATGGCAAAATAACAGATTACCTTCTAATATTATATTTATTCATGTCAACAATATCATTAAGTGTATTTCCATATGAGTGTGTCACTGCATGAACCATCCCTGCACACCCAGTGATAGTTGTTATGTGTATATATAGCTACAACGTTGTTTCTTGGCTTTGTATAGGGCGTGGAAGGGTTAAAACCTCTGAAGTTTTAATTATCTCGCCGACATAGAATACGGAAATGGTATACAATAGTTGCTGCTAAACAATAGGAAATAGATTATTCACACAGCAACAGTAGTAAATGGACCATACCTCACCAATAAAAAATATCCCAGGAATGATACCGTCCTATTTGAAAAGCTAAAACTTGTCCCTGTGTTCATCTGTGTATCATTGGAAGTATGGATCAGTGAATAGTGGCTTTATGCAAAGAAGCAGTAAGTATATGAATACCCCACATGTGTCTGTCTGTCATCCTCCATCAACATATTTCTGGAGTAAATCAACTACATTTCAGCTACCAGGGACATTATATAATATTTAAGGGACTAAGAGTCACACAGGTTATGAGTTTTGAATTCCCTTGTACAGTAAATTGTATGGCGTTTTATGCTGCGGTTTGATACACAGGTTTGGGAATATGCCTATTTGAGGCTTACTTTTATGACAAAGGCTAAGTTCACCTTTACTGAAACTGTGCATTGATAACTTTTCTACAGAAGCCTGGAAAACATTACATCCATGATTAGTAGATCACTGGTGCAATGTGGGCTTCGGCAGACATGTTCTCCAGCTTTCAGCCTGTACCTGTCTGCAAGCTGGAAAGCAGTAAAAACCCAACAAAGAATCTAATCCTTCCCCACTCTATTCAAAACTATTTTTTTGCTTGACATACACTTTAAGGGGATCTGACGACAAACTAATAGGTGCCCACAGACAGGATATTCACTCTGCCTGCATAGCTGGATCTGAGAAGAATTGCATGCCTGGATGCACTCTCCAGGATCTCCTCGGGAGCCAATGGATGTTCCCAGCAAGTCACTATTTTGTGCCCCCAACAGAATTTGGTGCCTGATCAATCCCCCCTCCCTCCTGCATAGCAGAAAACATTCATGTGTGCTCCAAGCCACTATGTATTGTATGTTTATACAAAAAACAATTCTTGAGCACAATCAGTTTCAGTGAAAGTAATGGACTGAGGTCTGGTTTCCACTGAACTGCAATAAACACTGGATGTTAACATACATGGTGGTTACTCCAACACCTTCTGCTCAAGACTGGCATCTGCAAAGTCATAAACATCTACCTGTTAGAACTTCATGAACATGAAGAGAAGGCCATGTAGCAGCCTTAAAAACTTGACCAACAGAAACCTGATGGTGCATAGTCCAGGAGCACTGACACTTCTGGTAAAATGGGCCTTGACCAGGAAAAGAGGAATTTAGCCCTGGACACCTTAGGCTTGAGAAATGAGCTGACGAATTCACTTAGAAATGCAGCATGCCTTCATTTTCCTCCTTGTTAGCTGATGTGTGCCGCAGCTGTGACATCGTCTGACTGCAGCCTGGTGGGGAGTTGGATAAACTAGTGCAGGAGATCCAGCCGGATCACCCAAAGTTCCAGAGTGCGGATTGGCAATTTCTGCTCCTCTAACCCTGACCCAGGAGGTTCTCCAGCACCAGCCCTGCCCAACTGGCTGGCATCCATCATCAAGACCTATCAAGAGCTGACCTGGTCTTTGGAGTCTGATGCTTTGGCAGATCCAGGGATTCCTGACCTATGTCCTATAGAAACAGGATATTCAGCTGCAGAGCACTGGAGTGGAAATGGGCAAAGGCGGCTACCATATTTCCCAGAACCTTGCATGCATGCCTGAATCGAGGGATAGTTCAATGACCTCAGGGATTCTACCAGGAATCAAAGAGACTGGCATTCTCCTGCAGAAGAAGTACCTTCACATGTGCCATGTTAAGTACTAAGCTTACATAGTCCAGACCTTATGTCCAAAGCAAGGCTGAATACTGAAGGTTCAGTACCCAGGAAAACCTCCAATATTTATACCATATGCTGGATTGGATGTCAGTTGCTGATGGTTTGCTCCCTGAGAAGCAGGTCGTCCAGGTATCCACAAATTGGGGATACCGTAGGTCCTCAACAACCCCTGAATTAAAGTCAACACCGTGGTAAACACTCTGAAAATGGTAGTGGTGATCCTCCACTGTGAACTTCGAAAACTGTTGGTGAGGCCAGAAAAAGAGGAATTTTGGCTTGTATTTGTATTTCATATCTCTGAGTACAATACAGGACATAGGCTAAGCATTCACAGACTCTGGCTAGACAACAGACTGGGTAGCTCAAGAGAAGAAGGAGCATACTTGTTCCAGATCAACATGTTGTGTTGGAGAGGTCTCAAAAAAAATTGGGTGAATTGAACAGCTTCAAAAAGGAGGCTACCACGAGGCCTAGAACTCTCATGGAAAAAACTCACCAAGGGATGTCTCTCTGACCTCCACTCCCAAGCATGAGCTCTAAGAGAAAGCATGCAGAGCGCTGTGGAAATATACTAAGTCACGGAAGACTTCATAGTAAAGTGTTTAAGGCGGTCAGAGTATTGGCTTTCCTAGCCTCAATGTGTGTCGCACGGTCGCACCAAAGGAAAAGGAAATTGCATCCCTATAAGAAGGAAAAATACTGAAAATTGCAAGTCATACCAACAACAGTCACAAGGTGGCAGCATAATTCAAACTAATTCATTACAAAACAGTGTAGGCTGTATACTCAAATGCAAGTGCATTCCCATATACTGCTGGAGGCAGCAACATTCCCCAAGTCTCAGAGAGGCAACTGACCTTGTGTGCGAAATTTTGAAGGAATTTTAGGTCCAAAATATGATTTATAATCCCGCTGGGCTTTGGCACCATGCACATATTTGATTAGAATTCTTTGAACCTGTCTTGTGGGGGGGAATGGTACAACTACTCCCTGGCACAAGAGATGGTTCAAGGCATTATGCAAATGTGACCGCCTTTGGGCAGATTTTGTTTGATTTCAGAAAAGAAATCAGCTACGGAGTAGAGTTTTGAACTCTATTTTGTACCCCTTTACATCACAGGCATCCCAGACCCGTGGATTCAATTGGTGGTTTCAAAGAGAGGCAAACTGTAATAGATGTTCCCCTATTCATGGGAGTGAGTGTGCCCCTTCATTGGGAAAAGGGCTTTGGGGAAGAGTTGGTGGGCTTAGTGGGCTGAGTCTTACAGCGAAAGGAAAGGCCGAACTTAGGTTTTGAAGATGAAGCCTGGGTAAAGCAATTAGGTGTTCTGAAAAGGCAGAGGCTCCTGAGGAGGTAGGGTTTGAATTTTCTGCTATGGAAATAAGACCTTTTCTCCTGTGTCATCGTTAGCGAATTTCTCAAGGGCCTCATCAAAAAGACCTTTCCTTCAAAGGACAAATGTTTGAGGCATCTTCCAGACTTTCCGATTCTGCGCATGTGAAAGGAGATTAGATCCGTTCTGGAAGTTTGTGTCATTACTTGTTCTAGGGCATCCACACAAAACCACAAGACAAAAAGGTAATTACTGTAGTTGCTCAACGAAGGTGTTGGAACACAAGATTGTGTTGGTTGTTCATTGCCCCAGTCTAATTAGCTGCAGTTTGACAGGCAGAAATCGCAGCCATAGCTGGTTGCAAAACTGGTCTTGCAAGTGTAAAGAGCCTTTGCTAACAACTCAAACTTCCTAACTGCAAAATCTTTGAATGAAGGAACATCTTCGATTGGTACAGTGAGATACTCAAGACTGAGATGGTAGGATCAACTACCAGAACAAGCCACATATATGTTAACTCTTTTTCCACTGGATAGAGCTTGGCAACAGTTTTCAGAGGAGTGAAAAGGTTTCTGCATTGACCCAATAGCCATAAACTGCCCATTCTATTTGCTCATGAATGGGGAATGATCTTTTTAGATTTAGCAGGCCTCTTTGTACCCACAAACGCATGGGGAGACAGAGGAAAATCATGTGCAACAATGCCGAGGGTTTTGTGCACAGAAGTGATCATGTTGGCAAGCATACTGCTTGAAGCTGTGACTTCAGGTGAGAAATCTTTTTCATCTTCCTATAACACTGCCTCCATTTGTCTTCATTCCCATCTACAGTAGGTGTACATCTTCTAGGCTGGGAAAATTGGGGTCTGACTCAGGTACAGATGATAAAGATAATGTCAGGTTGACTGCTTGTTGCATTCCTGAAATAGAACTAGAGACAGATGTAGAGACCGGTGTTAAAAATGGGACCTTCTCTGATGCAAGGGAAGCATCACCACTCTGAGGTTGTGTGCTGTGCAAGCCTTCTGCAGAGCAAATGTGGCAAGTTTCCCCCAGTAGGCAAGTGTTTGAAACCTTGCTGTGCCTGGTGCCGAAGTAGTGGCAACTGCGCTGAGTCAGAGTCATTTCCCATGCGGGGCAACCAGTCCTGGACCAGGAGATCAGAATGTACTAACACCAACATCAGAGGCACTCATCAGGCTGGCTGCAGGGTCAGCAGGCCCAATCTTCACCTGTCACAGCAGATGACCTCCAGAAGGATCAGTGTCCTGAATCTGTATAGTAACCCTGTCAGTGAGGTCACTTTTGCACTGTAACTATTGTGAACTGTCCCAATTAACCTTCATGAGAGTGGATGGGGGTTAGGAGCTGTAGGTTACCAGGTATTTTCATTTTTACTTCTTACTAGCAAAAGTATAATATGTTTTGTTATAAATGTGGCTTATTTATATAACATTATTTAAAGTGTTACTAAACCCAGGACCCTGCATTCACTATATCTGGTCTCCGACAGTACACATAACATGGAAATGCTATTATTTTAGAAAATATAAACTGCTAAATACCTTTTCTCATCAAAAATTAGAACAGTCTTTGTGACTTCTATCAGTGTCCAGCCCAGCACTAGCTAGAGCTTGTAGAAGGAGTTTATTTCTGCTTTAGGAGGATACAAATCCCCTGACCTCTTTCTGGACAGTGCTGATTGGCCCTGTGCTGATCACATGCACTCTCCCAAGAAAAAGTAAAAAAACAAAAAACCTCTCTAGCAATACATATCAAACTGAGCATGTGCATGCCTACAGTTCAGTCTGGAGATAAGTGGTGGTCGCTTGAAAAAGGGGAGGAACAGAGAAGAAAGGATCAAACAGCCTTTTTACACAATGCAGAGGATTAACCCCTTAGGCTCCACAGTGAGTATAACAAGCACGTTTTACTGCATATACAGACTGATTTTACTGTTGTGGGTTTAGTAACACTTTAAAGTAATACTGACATTAATGATGTACAGCCACATACAACAATTTCAGCTTTGTCACAGAAATGCTTTATGAATGCATTTTACTCATTTAATAGTTTCCACACTAAAACAACAGCAGTAAATTCAAAACAGTAGTAAATCAGTGAAGGTTCTTCTTTATCCATGTCATTGTATGACTAATAGTAGTCAGGTCACACTCAGCTAAACTTGTTCTGTAATGTTGATAGTAAGCTACTCATCTGAGTACCAATCTCAGTTCTGAGGCTACCCAGTACATTTTACTCACCCATGCGGATAGCAGACAACAAGTCGCTTCGGGCATCGCTGGTTAGGCCAAGCATATGCGCACCATCATGCCGCTTTGCTTCTAGTACTTTGGCAAAGTGCATCGGAGATGAAGCGTGAGATAGGGTAGGTGCAGGAGGTCCCGGTGGTGGAGGGGGAGGTCCAGGTGAGGCCGAAACACTGACTCCAGGAGGAGGAGGAGATGGTGCGTATGAAGACCCAGATAACTGTCCCCCTGGTGATCCTGGAACTGGGTGCTGAAGGGGACTAACAAAAGCAGTCTGAGCTGAAGGAATGACAGGTGGAGGCGGGGGTGGGGATCCCGTAGGGTAATACTCCATCATCTGAGGAGGTAGCACTCTCCTTTAAAAGACAAATAAAGTTTTCTAGTTTAATACAGAACTTTACCAAAAGCTAGGAAAAAAATAAAGTTACTGCAGGGTCCCAATGAAGGTTCAAATGCTGTGATCATGCATCTTACTACAATTTACCCAGTTCACACAGGCATCTGTCATTACTTCCCACATACCTGAAGAAAGTGGAAATGTGGGAAAGTCCCTAGATAAATAATGTACATGGAAGGAAGACAGTCTGTTTTAGTAGGTGAGTTCACAGCACTGCACAGCCACTGCAACTTTAAGTAATGCATGCCCCACATTTAATCAAAATTTGACTGGATAGGAACATGGGAGCTGCTTCTGCTGACTTGTTTTTGAAAGTTCATTATGTAAAGAGACTCCACAGCAGAGTCGCCATGTTTGAAGCCCTCTTTCTGATTACACCCAATACCGAGCTGTCTAATCAGAGATAAGTCACTGCCCTATACACTCAATGGGCTTGAATTACTAAAGGCACATAGATTGTTCATGATGAAAGAGAATTTTCCCCAGAGCTTAGTGAATGAGGTGCAGCTCATCCAATCAGGTGCAAGCAAAAAAAAAAATATACATCTTGCATGTGATTGAGTATTCTTTGCAAAATGAAATGTTACAACATTCTCTAAGCCCAAGGGAAAATTTTGTTGCAAACTGAAACTTTCCTTGCAAAGTGAACAGCCTATTTTGCATCTAGAAAATTAGCCCCAACAGCTTTTTTTTTTCCAGCACAGCTGAAAATAAATATCTGAGTGAATAAAAATGTGACTAGAGCTGCATCTACAGGCTGGATAAAAAACTATACAGTATTACTATGCTAAATTCATATTTATCCAATACAAAAATAAATACTGTGTTTGTACAAAAATCTTATTTTAATTTCTGACTAAAATAAAGAAAATATGTACACACACACACACATATACACCACACACACACACACATATACACCACACACACACACATATACACCACACACACATATACACCACACACACATATATCACCACACGCACACACACCTAGCAGCATTCCTACAACCAAACATCCTTATGGGAAGTATGACAAAATGCAACAATCCTTTTCTTTCTAAGGAATCAGTTATTTTCTATGGGATTGCTTACTTGGTAATTCTAAAAGTTTTTTGCAGCTCAGTCAGAGGTCACGTTTGTGCAGTGTTTCATGTCAGGGAGGAGCTCGCCAGCAACACTCACTCTGCATTCAACTCTATGGCTTCACTGAACAGTAACTTGTGGCAGTAAACAAGCTAAATACAGCATAGGTTGGAGCTGTAGCTGCAAAAATCGCTTCTCAGCAAAAAAAATTGCCAGAAACTATAGTAATTATGTTGCTGGCTAAAGAGATTTGTAGATGTCAGAGTAACTTCTTAAAACAGAAGGTATCTACATGTCTCAAATAATTCCTTACTTGACCTTAGTGCCAACTGTACTTTCAAAAAATAATGTTTTTGTTCCCGTTAGCCTACCTCTTTGCTTTATAAAGTCTTTGTCAAATCAGAGGCCCTGTTCCACAGAGGGTATCATTTCTACACACTACACGTATTATGGTCAACAAGCCTTAAACGGCTGTATGCAGTTTAGAATAAAATTCACTATGTTACTCTGTACCTGTAATAAAAACCAGCCTTTCTACATGTACAGTAGGCCCCAGAGACAAATAAAGAATGATTTACATGTACAGTATATGCCCACTTTTCTGGACTAAAATGTTATGGAAGTGAGCAAGCAAGCCTGTTTTCAAAGGTCTCTGCTGTGCTCCCCAATTGTTACATGGGAAAAGGGGGGGCTTTTTGGTTCCTTAGCACCTGTTACTGCAATGCAATGGTTTATTAACACACATTTTCACCCTGGCTTTTTCACTTTTTCAGAGCATAGGTTAGCTTAAGGAGGCTAAAATGGAAACGGAATACTTCACTTTAAATGTAGTAACAGTAGGACTGCGTGCTCTGGGAAACCACTCCACCAGTATTGTCACTCATAAAGAATGAGAGTGCAGCGCTAACCCAAATAGCGATTAAACATATGATAGACCACATATGATAGTGGATCAGTAAAATGCCAGTGTAAGTTCATCAGATGTGCTGAAAGTGCATACAGTCTCCAATATGTAAAGAACCAAAAGTAGTGACTTTCAGAAATGATAATAGCCAAATAATGCACTAACCAGATAGCGCATATTAAAGCGCATGGAGCATTTAAGACCTGCCCCTGGTGCTCAGCCACTGTATCACTGGAGCCAGGAGATGTCATCTATAGGGTGACCACTAGATGTCATCTATCCGGATGGAAGCTGAGTCCAGCCACTGTATTAGAGGATCAGGCGGATGTCATCTATAGGGCGACCACTAGATGTCATCCGTTCCAGGAGGAGCTGTGTCATGGATCCAGGGATGTCACTTGCAGATGTGTCCTTTGCTAAGCACAGCCCCAGGACCTTCAGAATTACAGGCTCCCCAGAAATAAAGAGCCCGTGGAAAAAGGCCTCAAATAGTGTGACCTTTTTTCACGGGCTCTTTATTGACATCCGCCTGATCCTCTAATACAGTGGCTGGACTCAGCTTCCATCCGGATAGATGACATCTAGTGGTCACCCTATAGATGACATCTCCTGGCTCCAGTGATACAGTGGCTGAGCACCAGGGGCAGGTCTTAAATGCTCCATGCACTTTAATATGCGCTATCTGGTTAGTGCATTATTTGGCTATTATCATTTCTGAAAGTCACTACTTTTGGTTCTTTACATATTGGAGACTGTATGCACTTTCAGCACATCTGATGAACTTACACTGACATTTTACTGATCCACTATCATATGTGGTCTATCATATGTTTAATCGCTATTTGGGTTAGCGCTGCACTCTCATTCTTTATCAATTACTTTGGAGGTTCCCGAGGTGCCTTTTTGTGCAAGCAGCTACCGTACTTACACCTATACACTGCGCTCGATTTTATATATAGATTTTATATATAAGTTTATAGTATTGTCACTCAGCCCTATTTCTTTAAAAACTGATATTTAGGTTACCTGCACTCCGAAGATACTAATGGAGGTGGGTGCAGTCCATCTACAGATGGTGGAGGCGGTGGTGGTGGCTGCTGCGGTCTGTTTAAAGTGCCATGTCTTAGTGTTCCAGTTGAGGAGCGGTAGTCGTGTTCGTGAACCTGATTAGCACCTACATGATGCAGCGAATCTCCAGACCCAACATATGTTGGTGTCATGGGATGCTGGTGCATGGAGTGGTTTGGTGTTGCAGGATAGGAGTATTCTGTAAGATCTGATACATGTGACCTGTGACAAAAAAAAAAGGAGAAAAAAAAAACCACAATAAATACCAACACCATTTACTTTTACTAAGGTTGCAAACTTTTAGTGAAAATGCGAACACATGCATTTCCATGAACATATCACTTAAAGTATCAAAGTATCTCTAGAGCCTAAACATTTTGATTTTGAACAGAGTAGGGAGTGTCAGGTTTTGGGCTTTAGATACACTTTGATAACTATTATACAGATATTATTGTGTTAAGGTTAGAGGGAAAGCTGTAAAAATAAGTAGTTTCTTTTTATACCACACACAATACAGAACAAATTTGCATAGTATTATGCCAAGGAATTAATTCAGTCCTCCTTTCTAATTAAAGTCAATACAAAAATCAGTGGTATAAAACAGAATGCTGTATTTGTATTAGGAAGAAAATACATTAGTTACCGTATTTTTTGCCGTATAAGACGCACTTTTTCTTCCCCAAAACTGGGGGGGAAATGTCAGTGCGTCTTATGGAGCGAATATGGAGCGGCCGGTCCGGTATTTCCACCGCGGCCGTGTCAGAATACCGGGTCGGCCGCTCAGCTCTGCAGCGGGACCTTACCTGTTCCTCTATCCAGCGGCGTGCTGTCTTCCCGGCTTCTGTAGTGTGGGCACTGGGCATGACAGCCGGGTGCCAAGTGCGCATGCGCAAGAAGCGGTGCTATTTGTGAATGGTAAGGCGGTACCTGGGACACATGACAGATCCCAGAAGCCGCCGGACCAATCACAAAGCGCAAGTGCTTCTCGCTCATGCGCACTGGACACCCGGCTGTCATGCCGAGCGCCATTACAGAAGCCGTGAAGACAGCGCGCGGCTGGATCGAGGAACAGGTAAGATCAAACAAAAACTCTGCGGAAGTAAGAGCGGGTACCTGTCAAATTCAGGTACCCGCTCCCCACCTCCCCAAAGGTCAGCAGTCATCTGTACTGTCCGCAGTCTCTGGTCATCCCTGTGCTGTCCGCAGTCTCTGGTCATCCCTGTGCTGTCCGCAGTCTCTGGTCATCCCTGTGCTGTCCGCAGTCTCTGGTCATCCCTGTACTGTCCGCAGTCTCTGGTCATCCCTGTACTGTCCGCAGTCTCTGGTCATCCCTGTGCTGTCCGCAGTCTCTGGTCATCCCTGTGCTGTCCGCAGTCTCTGGTCATCCCTGTGCTGTCCGCACTCTCTGGTCATCCCTGTGCTGTCCGCACTCTCTGGTCATCCCTGTGCTGTCCGCAGTCTCTGGTCATCTCCTGTACTGTGTCTGCAGTCCACTAGTTCAGAATTTTTTTTTTCCTGTTTTCTGCCTCTAAAACCTAGGTGCGTCTTATGGTCAGGTGCGTCTTATACGGCGAAAAATACGGTACACTTAAATTGTGTATTGTGTTTCTGCATTTAATAAAAAAAACAAAAAAAAAAAAAACACATGCAATTATCCCACGCTGTGACACTTCAGAAATGATAGACATGCCACAGCATTTCCAGTTAAACAAAATGTAACTAACCCTTCTATAATTTTTATCTTCTGTAATCTGGACACGTCCTGTATATCTGTAATAACTTCATACATTATTTGCAACAAACTTATAAATTCGGATTTCGGTTTAAAAAAAATAGAAAAAAAAAAATTTGCACTTGATTAATTCTCTAAACTCAAAAGCCACTAGCTTTCAACCACACAGGTCACATGATTCGTCTAAAACATGTTACAGAACAGAATGCGTAGTCCTCCAAGGACACAGTAGTATATAACATGCAGCTGGAGCCAGGAAGAACTTTCACTACTGCACATTGCTACCTCTTGGTTGAAGAGAATTTTGCTACACGTTGAAACTTTACTTCAATACTTCCTCAGGGAATTAAGACGTACTGTATATGATTTTTGCTTTAAAAAGGGTAGTACGGATAAGTTCACCTTCGGAACATGTTACGTGTTGCACCCATTGTTAAGGCGGAACATGCAACATGTTTAAGCTACAGCACCAGTGACATATCAAAGCTAGGTTACTTAATTTTCCATAAAACAAATGAAATTCATAAAGAGATTAGAAGCTGTTGCAAGAGGGTAAAGCTGGGAATGTAACCAAAGTCTTATCACCAGAAGATACATGAAGCCTCTGGGTGATTTAAAACAAAAAAACATTGGATTTAGGTGGCTGAAGCCTTTGCATACAAGCTCTTCCACGTTTTACTAATACATACAATAAAAAAGACATTTTAAAGCAACCAAGCATTTTTCACTGGCAATCTTTCTCTGTTGTAGCCAACTCTTTGAAACTGCACAACTTCACACAAAGATTCTGCTGGGAGGACCTAACAGATGGACACACAGACCTAGTGTCGGGTGACATGGATCCCTCAGAAGAGGCTCCTTGGTAAATATTAGGGGATAGCCTGTTGTCTGGTCTAAGTTCTTTGTCGTAGGCCATTATGTTCCATTCTTGCCGTCTATTCCTGGCTTTTCTGACCTTCTTCACCTCACGGGTTGTACCATCCACACGCTTTTGCTCCTTAGGAAAACACACAATAAAAATTGGTAAATAAAAGAATAAAGTGAAATAAGAGTGATATGCATACTTCCAAGTCAATTACCATGAAAATAAATGTGATTGGGTCACCCTAACAGCCAAGGAAGACTACACTTTTGGGGAAGAAGGGTAGAGTTCAATATCTGTATCCTGACTTGTTACAGGATACATTATTGATGTGTAGGTCTAGGTTAGCTGGAGGAACCAGACAGCTGCAGAGGACTCAGACGCACAGCTGAAAATAAATATCTGAGTGAAGCCTTTTTTGGGATCTTTCACTAGTAACAAATGCATTTTGAACACCTACAAAAGACATTAGAGAAGGCTCTCACACCAAACAGGTAACGCTAAAACACAAAACTACAGGACATAAAGAATTAGTAAGATTGTGAGGTGGAGAAATTTCATGAGATGGTAAAGACAGCCACAGTGAGAAAGTGATCAGTGGTCCTATCGGATTTTCTATTCTTTTACAGCAACCGGTATGAGATATAACCATTACCTTCTGTCTTCTTTTCTCTTTTCTTTTATCTTCAGTGTCTTGCAGCATTTTTTCCTTCCAAAGGTCAAAGAAATATGATGGATCCGTGTAAAATTTCAAGCCATCTTTCCTGTCATCTCTAAGAAGAAAGTTAGCAGAAACAACTTTTATTTAGATCTTTGATCCTTACAAACAAGCTGTAGTCATGTCACTTGCATTCTAATTTCTATGGCACAGGTAAGCAAACACCTTTAGCATGGTTATCTGAACCCTAGAGGAGGCATGGCTGTAATAGGCACTTCAGTTCTGGATACAAGCTGAAAGAACCAGTCCTTCAAGCGCACATGGATTTTACAGGGATCTGAAGCTGGTTAAATAGCCAATACCCCTGGATAACTAAGTAGAACACCAGCAAAGACCCCCTGCCTGTGATTGGACAGCTATCTTCTTTCTTTCGCAGCAGGAAGTATTTTGTGCACTGCTACAGAGACTGATTGGCTCCAAGTGCTGTCACTTTACATAGAAGTGCTGCTGTACTGGAGATTACAGATGAACATATTTGGAGATTACAATATAGATATATAACCAGCTGTATGCAAAATACATGTAATGATTGGTATTCACACTTTTATGTCTACAATTTATAGATAGGCAAATAAAAATGTGGCATAATGCTGGGGATACTTTTAAAAATGTCTTTGAGCGCTAGCTAGTTTTCCGATCATGTGATCACTATGTCAGCTTCAAGAGTGATCACAAGCAGGCAGAAGGCTACATCTGTTGTTCACAATTACTGAATTAAAAAAATAATGCAATTCAAAAACAATATTAATACCAGGTTATTTTTTTAATCTTTATATTTTTGTGAATTTTATTTTATTAAAATCAATGTGCCAAATAAAACCTTAAAAGCCCTTATAAAATATATAAAAACTAGTTAGGTAGAAAATTGGTCAGTTAACAAAATAGAATTTGTTGTTTTTCACTTTAAATTAATAAAAGTCTATAGAAAGTTGAAATGGTATATTCAATAAAAGTTGGTGTGCCATTCAGCAGAACTTTTGTGTTCAAGTTACAGTCAGCTAAAAACAAACACAGTACAATGTGCAGTGTAGATGTATTGGATTTTTAACAGGGAAGCTAATTAATTAAAGTGGTTGTAAAGCCTACACATTTTTTACTTGAATGCATTCCATTTTTTCGGTTAAGCTATCATCCCCTCACTTTCCCGAGAGCAGCGGAATCCATTGATTCCCACTGCTGTCAGTCAAATCCTGTGATGAGGGAGCGGGACCAAGCCTCGCTGTCTGTCAATGGATACAGGGAGCGTGGCTCGGGATTGAGCATGCAGGTGTGCCATGATAGGAAGCGGCTTTCTATGGTGGCACACCAAGAAACTTAAGACTTTAAAATCACTTTTAAAAGAGAAGTATGGAATTTATAAGAATAAAAAAAACCTCATATACTCACCTAGGTCTGATGATACATCTGTCCCCCACCAGCTCTGCAATGAGAACTCTGCGATCAAAGACCGCTGATTGCTTAGTTGTCCGAGAAGAGAGCCATGACTGTCAGTCACTGGCTGTCTGCTCTGTCCCTCCAGCGCTCACTGGAATGCCAGGCTGGGTAGGGGATGGAGCGGCTGGCCCAGTCTCCCAGGGGCACAGCTGAGAGGCTGAGCCAGCTGCTGTCTAGGCTTCTGTGTGGAGGCACACCATATGGTCGGGATCTATAGAGACTGGACCAGCTCTGTGACATCATCCAAGAGCAAGCTTTAGCTGCAAACAGGTCACAGGAGTGGTGAACAAACTGCGTTCCTGTGATCCATTGGAAAAATACAGTCAAAAAAAAAAGCTTTAGCTATGCTTCTCCTTCAGGTCTGACAACTGCATTCTGACATGCAGATAACTTACAGGAAATTACAAACTGAGGAAAGATCCTCCTTCATGTTGTCTCATTAGGAATAGTTCTGAAGATCACATGGCACTTCATAATTACACATCCTCAATGCCCTGACAGAGAGGAAAATATACTACCACGCCAAAGCATTCAACTTCTATAGCTCCTCAAATCTACTGTCTTGAAGATATAAATGCCTCAGAATAAAGAAATTCACAAGCTATGAGTAACTCTCAGACCTTCAATATAGCAAAGAGAATATGCAATACCCCTCAAAGAAAAAGATTTTAATAATCTGAATGCTACAGACAGGTTAACTCTGGTTTACTTGTTTAATACACAACTGCAGGGAAAGTGACAGGGCTGCTTGGAATTCAGAAGCAAGTGTGACCTCTTCTATTGTTGCTCCTAAGAGCAACAGATTTTTTTTCCTCTAAACTGGAATGGTGGATACTTCCTTAAGTATAAACGTAGGTCTTGGGTACAAGACTACTTTGTGAAGAACCAGGAATGGCTCTGTACATGAAAGAACTACCAGTTCAGAAACAGAACATCCTGATGAGTTCAAATGGTGGTTTCTGCAGGGCAAAGAGAACCAAATTAAAATTAAATTACGTTTCCAATGAAGCACAAAGTGCTGTAAGAGTGGTCTAATCTGAAAAACACCTTGTGTAAAAGTTTTTGTTTTTTTAAATTAAAATGAAACATGTTCCTTCAGAGTACTTAAGACCAAATTCTGGTCAAATCCCTATTGTAGAAAGGCCACAATGTAAGCCAAAAAAAAAAAAAATATCGCCGGGACTGAAGTGCCTCACACCAGGAAAAAAGAATTTCCGTGTACAACAGTACATTTGTTTGGAAGTGGCTTTTATGTCTTTGAACAATGTGAGAATAGAGTCAGAAATGCCTCTGTCCCTCAAGAGCTAGGCTTTAATGGCCATGCCATAAAGTCAGTGACCTAGAAGTGAGACAGAACAGGGAGCTCTGAAACAGTTGGTTTGGTCTATTTGGAAGAGGCCAGGGACTGTCTCCTAGAAGTCAGAGCATGGCTGTGTAGCAGGTTCTTCTGGGCCAATTCACGCTGGTATCTTTTCTTGCTTTAGTTTGGAGCAATTGAGGCATAATTAACACTGGAGGAAAGGCATATATATAAACTGGAACAAAGTCTAGGGAACAATCAGAACATTCAATGCATTGGATGAGTCCTTGTTGAGGTGAAAGTCCAAAGCCACCTTGGGGCAGAAGGAGGATTTAGGCCTCAACAGTACTTTGACTCTGTGTAAGACAAAAAAGGGTTCTTTACAGGACAAGGCCACCAGCTTTGACACAAGCCCCGCAAAAGTAACAGTTGCAAGAAACACAATCTTGTGAATGAGAGTAGAAAGAGGCCCCAATAGGTTCAAAAGAATGTTTTAGTTCCAAGAGAGCCAAATTGAAATTCCACAGAGTCACGGGTGAGCACACAGGGGGAGCCACATAAGCGCACCCTTTACAAAAGTCTTAATCCAGGAATGAGAAGCTAGCAGTCTTAACCAAATAGTCAAAAGTTGGTCATTTCTGGAACAAGACTTCTGGTTCCTCCCTGATGGTTGATGGACACGAGTGCTGTGGCATTGTCCAACTTAATCCTGATCATCTGACTCTCCAATTGGGGTGTCCAACATCACAAGGACAGCCAAAAGCATCTGAAGGTCCTGAATATTGAATGGGAGAAAAAATTCCTCCAATGTCCAATTCTGCTGCAATGACACTGGGATTGAGTTACTAAAGCCAAATAGACTTGCAGTTGCAAGGTGCAGTTGCTCCAGAGCTTTTAAATGAGGGAAAGCTCTGCTGACGTCCATCATCCAATCATGTGCAAGCACACATGCTGTCATTTTTAAGTTTCCTTGCATGTGCTTGCAACTGCACTTGCAAAGTGTACAGTCTATTTGTCTTTCTTAAATCAACCTCAATGTGCCCAGGATCCCTTCCCCAGCCCAACAAGCTGGTATTGATCAAGAGTACTGAAAGAAAGGACTTCCTCAACTCCGGAGCAGGATTACTGAGCCACCAAGCAAGGAACAGGCTGGTCTTTGCAGCCAGGTGAAATCACTCTCTATAAGGACTACCACCTTGTGCCAAAGTGGCAAAAAAGTTCAAAGGGTATGGAGAGGAACTTGGCAAACAGGACTCCCTCAAAGAAAGATACCATTTGTCTGTTAACTAATGTCAAAGCAAGTCACTTGACTCCTGGGCTAAGAGTCCAAGGCTGGGAGTGGAGAGTTGGATGTTTCCCTTGGGGGGAGGAGGGATGGAGGACTCAGGACCCAGACTTCCAGGTGATGAATGGGTATAGGCTTCTGAGGTTTCATGGTCCAAGTGTTCCCAAGGTTTGAAATACCCATGCCACACGCTGTTTGGAAAGAATTGTGTTCCTTCAACAGGAGGGGGTCCATCAAGGCAAGCACAGGGGCAAACACCTTGATGAACACTTAACGAGTGAATGATAGGCCGAATGGCAGGGCCACAAACTGGAAATCCTGAGGACCCACAGCAAAGCAACTGCTTATGGAAAATTGGGACATTCAAGTAGGCATCCTTGATGTCTACAGAGGCCATAAAGTCTCTCTGACGAAGAGGAGCTATTGAGAGACTTGGTGGATTCCACGTGGAATTTCTGTGGACCTCAAAAGGACTGCACAAATGAAAGCAGAGGAAAAAAATTCCAAGCTGTCAGTGTTGGGCCCTGCAGCTGGTGCACTGTAGGCAGCACCAGAACCATTAAGAATTGTGAGTCTGGGTAGCAGGTACTGGAACCATTAGTGGATTGTGAGCCTGGGCAGCAGGCACTGGAACCATTAGTGGATTGCGAGCCTAGACAGCAGGACTAGTGCCCATGTGTCTGGGTTCTGGCATGTTGCAGCATAAGGCAGGGGAAAGAAAGATCAAGGTACAAACCTTGAATACTCACCACCTGCTGCCAGAAGGAAAGGTTCTGGCAGCTGAAGGTGATTATGTCCCTGTACACGGGCAGTAGAGGCAATCCAAGGTAAAATCCATGTGTTGCTTACAGTCAAGAGCAGTGGCAGGGAGGAACTTTCGATTCAGTGACTGGCAGAAAAGAGCGCAGCACATGCTTGACACTCCACCCAGCAGATGGTGCCTGTGCTCAGTCCCTCAGCGTGAACTTCTGCTGCAGTAAACGGAAGAAAAGTGGGAATTTTAAATGTCGTCCAGTGGCCCTAGTAACAAATTAGCTCCTTGAAATACACTGACATGGTCTACTCACAAAGTGAGTCTTCAGAGATGGGTCACACCTGTGACTGTGCATTTGCTCTGGACTTGGAAAGTGCTCCATGGCTAAAACACACAGGGTTTGATTTACTAAAGGCAAATCGTCTGTGCATTGCAAGTGCATCCACAAGTGCTGTTGCTCTACATCTGAGGGGAAGTTCTGAAATGAAGGGAAGTTCTGTTGATTTCTATCATCCAATCATGTGCAAGCAAAAATGCTGTGTTTTTTTTTATTTTCCTTGCATGTGACTGGGTATTGTTTGCAAAGTGAAGCTTTACCTCATTTAAGAAGTTCTGGAGCAACTGTACTTGCAAGTGCACAGTATATTTGCCTTTCGTAAATCAATTCCACAGTAGGCTTAGGTTTGGAAAGTGCCACAATGGGGAACCCAATGCCTGAAGGTCACACGCCAGGCAAGCCCTGCAACATCCTGTCCAGTGGGATCAGCATTTGGCCTCCGAAGCTAGTACTAAGGAGCAGGCAGACCAAGCAACTGCATATATAGATCGGCTCAGCAGCTTGTAGAGGAAACCTAGCTGAAGAAAAAAAAATAGCTAGCAAAAGAAGTTGGACTTCTCAGCAATGTAGAGGAAAAGGCATCTATGCTCTTAGGACACTTGCAAAAAAACTAAAGCATGCTGGGAGTAGGAGGAGTTATACCAGGATAGCCACTATCTTTTGCATGCCAGTGCCAAAATAACTTCACTTGTGTCCCTCAACGAAAGAGAAACAAAGATTCATATTTAGTCCAACAGAAATATGAAATAATGGAAATATGAAAAAATATACATTCCTTAAAAAAAACAGACAAAAAAAAAACATGCAGTAATTCACTAACCTGTACGGAGTGAGTATGTTAAGGGGAGGAGGTTTATCACAGGTATTATAGATCTCTGTCACCGGGTTAGGGATGCTGTCTTTAGAAACCACTTGCTGGTCCTGGGTGGTGGAACTTTTGAAAGCTTTTCTCATGTTGATGTCTTGGAGTGAAACTATAAAACAGAAAAAAAAAACTATTTAGTAACAGATATTGCCCAGAAATATACAAATTAAAGCACCTCTGAATTCTTCCATGAGTTGCCCATGCCAACATCTCCATTATTGGCACTAAACCCTTCCCTGACCACTACACTTAAGAGAGGGGACAACTACTTAGACTTTGATATGGACAATTTTCCTGTTGCTGGTTACAAAAATGCAGATATATTTATGTAATTGACAGCCTAGGGCATGCAACAATCATGATTTCTCCTCTCAACTACTTTGTCTCCTCCCCCCAATACAAATCATAAAACACAGAAGAGTTTAAAGAAAAGGCAGAAAAAGCAACTGCACATGGGGATATACAGGAGGCAGAATGGCAACTGTTTGTTGAGTAGAGGGCATAAAGGAAACAGTATAGAATCTGAGGGTGGACGAAAGCAAATGCCAACAGAAATGCAAATATTGGGAAAGGCAGAAAAAGCCTGATAAGAGATGAAAAGGATAAGAGATAAAGAATAAGCTGATCATGTAGCTATGGAAAAGACAATAAATAGATCATAAATGGATGGTGTTTCAGATAATATGTAGACCATGGGCTGATCAGGACAGGGAACGTGAAAGAGTAGAGGTAGTAAGGAGATAATCATGGACCAGGGAAAGAGACAGGAGGAAGAGGGAACTGATCATGGACAAAGGTTTAGAGGAGGCCAAGGGTGATCTCACTATAGACCATCTGAGAGAATAGGCAGATTGAGGCACAGTATAGCTGGGGGGGGGGGGGTACAGTATAAGACTGTGCCTGGAAGAAAAAGGTAGAGTGGAAGCTAAAATTGGATAGGGGAGAAAGGCAGCATTGCGGGAGCTGAAAGTTGCCGATGGGTGGTGGGGGAGCAATAGCTGATTGTGTTCCACTAGGAAATGATGCTAAGGAGCAAGTGGTCATGGATTGGGAAGTTGGGGGGAAAAGAAAAAAGAGGAGCTAATCCTGTGGAGGATCTTGTATGAAGTGTCATTTTTCCATAAAAGAATATGACACAGACAAGGAATTTAGTCAGCATGGATGGAAAAGTGCAAGACGGTGTGGCAAAAGCTGCCAGAACGTGTAGCATGAATAGGGAAGGGGGAGTGGGTGTCAGAATGTGGTGCAGACAGTGGGACTAGAGCTTCCAAAGAATCTACAGTATACACTGAGATTTTAGACACAAACTAAACATAATAAAAACACAAGTGTCGCCATTTCTTAGAAAACAATGTTTGGTGGGGGCACAAACACTGATGATAAAAGTATGTTTCCACAAGGGCATGGCCACTAAAGGCTAAAATGCGTGTGCTAGGGCTCTAACTGGATGCAGCCACTGTTAGGCCGACCAGTAGCCCAAGCCAAATTGTTGTATCATACACAATTTTTTAGGGAAAAACAATTTAGGAACCAATTTTAAAGAAAAAAAACTACACATTTTCAAAATATGAGTTTTTATACAAAGGTCCATAACGAAAAGCCCGTACTGAAATTCCATTTCAGATATACCTAACCTGCATGCAATGATTATTCTCTACCATTATCAGCAAAGCTTTTCCCCACATGCTATAATTTTCTTCTATCCATCCTCCCCCAGCTTCCTGCCTCTGATTTGGCTTTTATACTTGGTGAATAAGCCAGACGTGCTGGTGGGGTGTCTTTCACCTTCTAATTTCATTTCACAGCTTGAAGATGCTCCAAAAGCTTCCCTACCTACCTCTCCACAGATGTGACTACACCCTGCTGCTAATCTAGTCTTTGCATGTATGAATGGCATCAAAGATTTTAAAACCAATACATTTTATATAAAACTGTTCTTTATCATCAGCCACTGATGTAAAGAAAAGGCTCCTAAGACATTTTTCAACACAGATCATCTTCTCTTAGTAGTCCTTTAAAATAACTAAGAGGACATCAGCAGTTTGATTGAAAATATTGTTTTTTATGGTCAGGACTTTATTTCAAACATATACTACTGTAACAGACAGAAGGTGAGTATAGCACCCTGAGCTGCTTTTTTATTTTTACTGGATGCTGAGGTCTGAATTTTTACAATTTCAACACACGCTGGGGTTTAAAGCTCTAGTTTAATCTGCTTATATATGGTCTTCCTAAGTTCCTGCCTTTCCCCCTCAACACGCTAATACATTTTGTAAATTACATCAGTTACCATTTTAAACTTTTAGACCCAGTGAAATCATCATTGAGTCTCAGTGCAATGCAATAAGTTGATGGCTGCAGGCAGGGTCTGGTAGGGTGCTGTACATAGCTTCCTAAAAACAAACACCATAGCACCCTGCCTCTGTACTCCACTCAAGAGGCTTTGTGTAGGTCATTGTTTTTTAAACCAGATCTGTGGTTCAATCCAGTGTGAAACTTCATCGCTGTGGAGAAGCTTCCTATAATAATGACTCGTCATTACTATTCTTCTTTGTGCAAGGTGACTACTCTGGTCTCCACCCTCCCTTGTACTTTTCTACAGGCTAACTATATTGGGAGGGATCTGATGGGTCAATTCCACAGGTCTGGATTTGAAAAGTCATTTGGTGCACACAAACACACACACACATGCACGTATATATATATATATATATATATATATATATATATATATATATAGCGCAGAGAGGCCACTCCAGGTGAAAACATGTGAACAGTTAATCATGAGCTCACCACTGCTGCCTTATTAATCATTTGCATGATGAAGAGAACTGAACAAAATAGGCGCTGTGGAAAATGCTCTCAGTCAAGCACCTTAATGAAGGTGCATCTTTATTGGGTGAGACAAAGTAGCAAATATAATAAAATATGACCAGCCTGAAGTGAACAGTGTGACTCCAACGTATGGCCCGTCTGCTCTGGGATCGGAGAACGCTCATGTTGGCTTCAAATCACGTGGTGTCAGCGTACCGGCGTCCCGGACACTGCCTTTGCTTGCCCTGGTGACACCACCCGGGACGCCGATACGCTGACACCACGTGATTGGAAGCCAACAGGAGCGTTTTCCACAGCGCCTATTTTGTTCAGTTCTCTTCATCACACATAAACGGACAGCTGCTACAAGGTAAAAAGCAGCATTGTACTGTGCAGCAGCTGTCCATTCCAACTACTGTGAGCCGGCGGTAGGGAACAGTGTGGTGCCTGATCCAGCACATCACACAGCTCCCTTTTTCTGTACAAACATTATTTGAAGTGCACAAAATGGACAGTGCATTCATTGTCACTGTACAACAGCGTAGTGTGCTGTGCTGCTGTACAGTGATATGCAAACCTGTCCAGTTCGCTACAATGAAGTGCAGCATGTCTGCTTTTTACTACAGATCACTGCAACACAATTCCAGGCTGCACTTCAGTGTGAACAGGACACACAGAAACAAATTGTTTTCTGTGTGTCCTTAAGGAATATTTTTAAATGCAATTTTTTAAGCTGAACTCCAAGCACCAAAAAATCAGCTTACCTCTTTTTTCCTGTTCTGGAAATTCCAGCCCTGTAAAATCCTACTAGTTCTCTTTGTTTTTAAGGGGGCTGGGCAGCTGCGTTAACCATAACTAACCCTGTCTGTACTGTGCTGTCAGATCTCATTATAAATGTAAACTAGATTTGGACATTTGTCATAACAAATGTTTAAAAGTTTAGTAGCATGGCTTCGTGTATGGTATTTATATATATATGAGAGGAGACTCAGCCTGTCCTTAGTACCGTGTTTCCCCGAAAATAAGACAGTGTCTCATATTAATTTTAGGTTAAAAAAATGCACTAGGGTTTATTTTTGCGTACGTCTTATTTTTATTGACTTTTATTTATTTTCATTCACTTGGTGACACCCCCTCCGACGATCTCCGCAGGATGGATGGGATCTGCGAATTAAACATAATGGATCGGAGTCCGATCTATTATCCTCCCCAATCCGCAGATCCGATCCATCCTGTGGGTATCGTCGGCTTGCAACCTAACGGATCTCTCCATCAGCTCCACAAAAAGGTATATTTTAAAGCAAGCCCCCCCCCCCTCTCTGCCCTCTTCCCTCCCCTCTCTCTCTCCCCCCTACCTACTACATTAATCTGCAGTGCGGTCACCAGGGTCGGGGGATTACATACTTACCTGCTGCATATTCTGCCCAACCCCCCAGCACTCCGACTTCAGCACCCGTGGCAGGGATGTGGACCCGCCCCTCTGCTGAAACTCTGAGGAGGAGAGGTGTCCGAAGTGCCTGCCTCACTGTCCATCACCTCAATGCCTGCTTATTTCAGAAGCGGCACATACAGGGATGGACTGAACCTCTCATGGGGCCCTGTAGTGACCCCGGGTCCTCGGACAGTGCCCGAATGGTCAGTCCGCCCCTGGTGGAGGTAGGTCTTATTTTCAGGGGACGTCAAAAAGTCTTACTTTCGGGGAAACACGGTAGTATCAGATTCACTCTGATACTGTTCAAAAATTCCTGAAGTCAGCCATGTGGCCTTCTAAAAACAAATTAAAAATACTGCATATGAAAAGACATTTTGGTGTTCTGTGTGACAGGGAACACATATAGTGGGTGTATTCTCAAATTTGAATGCAAAAGTGGAAATACATTTTTAGTCTATCAAGGACTATAAAGGTGACCTCTACACCTAACTTTCTTTAACGGCCAGCCTACCATGACCATTACATGGAAATTACTTGAAGTAGTCTTTACATACAATATTGATTACAGACTAGGGCAGTGAGATTCCCTTGTCTGCAGCAAAAGGAGTGAGAATTTATGAGCAGGACAAAAAAATGCTGCTGAAGTTTCAAAGATAAAAGGCCAGTGGTTGATTCAGCCTACTAGCATCAAGTCTTAACAGCAAGATCCATTTTAGTTAGACCAACCCCTAAAATACAGGAGGGGCAAAGTTGCCAGTTCTGTTCAAATTTAGTCTGTTTCAAGGACAATTTATAAAATCACATACACAAAATTATAAAGAAAAACATTAAAAGACTAAAATGCAAATAAAAAAAAGTGAGGTAAAAGGTCTCCAGTAAAACACATGCAGCTTTCACAGCTTGGGACCAGCCGTTTCAGATACAAGATAAGCGCTTAATTTTCTCAAGCCAGGACAATTACACATTGCTATAATGCTTCCAAATGTAATTATAAACCATAAAGTCTCATTATACAAATGTGTGTAGGCGAGAACTTGGCCGTTTCTGAATCAGCCAGAACAAGTTTTCATACAAATTATGGAGAGAGGGTAAGCCGCAATATGTTGCTAGCCAATTAATACTTGAGATAGCAACAGCACGCTCAGAGGGACAGTGGTGATCTCCTGCTAGGAGCCAGCCGTTGCCAGGTAATTAATAGTGTCTGTACGTGTCACACTTCTAATAGAGCGGCTTCTGTGCAGTCACCCACCCTCTTCCACTGTTGAATCCAGCTGGGTGACTTTGACAGCAAGCCGATCAATTCTGTCTTGAAGAGAATTTGCTCTGATGTAGAAAGTGTTCGCCTCATTAAACAACTCGCCAAATATGTCTTCAGCATGCTTGCCTGCCAAACAAAGAAAAATATGTCAAACACACACACACACACACAAACTCTGCTCATATGACAGCCACATAGTTCATACAACCAATGGCAATAATGCTTTTTCTTGTTGCCAATTTGCTATTCATATTGCTGTATTCTACAGCCAGTTGAAGTAACAGAAATATACAGGAGGTTTATTGTAGGAGGTACAAGATAATGCCTACAAGCAAACTAAACTGAGGCCTTTCCCCTGCAATGTCCCCTAGTGTCCAAATGAATATGTCTCTTGTATGAGAACTGCATTGAGATGTAGTGTTACTTGAATGGTATTCCAGGATTTGCTTGTCTTCAGCTGAGAGAACTTGCAATAATTTAAGACTTTACATAAAGTTTCAGAAATCTTTCATTACAGTCTCCATGTTATATAGTTTGAATACCATGTCACAGGTATATTACTTATCACTGTATAAGAACATATTCCACCGTTTTGTTTTTTTTTAATTTTTCCAAATAAAACAGCTTTAAAAAACAAACCAAAAAATACCCAATGTTTCTATGTTTTTCCCAGGTCTTCCAACCTCTACTTTCATGGTCTTCCCTTCACTTTTTTATTTTATTTGTACAGCAATTGTGCAGGATATCTAAATATGATAATGCAGTATAATAGGCACCAGAGATAGATACAGCGCACCTGGCAATCAGAAATCAGTAACAATACTGGCCTGCACACCTCTCTCTTCCTTTACAACATGTTAAACTGAGGTATGGGGCTGCCACTCAACTATGCCAGCATGCAGCAGTGGAGTGGAATAGTAGCACAAGTATTTGGGGCAGTTTCAAGCAAAAATCAATTATAAATCATAACATGCAGGGGCACAGGACTATAAAACGGAAAGAAAAATGTATGCAACTTCAATAGGGCTTTAGGAACATTGGTCTGTTTTTTTACATGCTAGGGTTTTATTTTTAACAAAATAATGTTACTTTTCACAGGCTATAAGTTCCAGTTACTACTGTGGAACTCCAGCTTTAGCAAGACTTTCTTTAGCTCTCATTTATTGGTATAATTCCAGAGGATTTCCAGTTTAATTGTTAACACATGCCAAATAATCTATTCTTCCATACTACAGCACAGCACGTCCATGTTATTTACAGTTTCTAGTTCAGTTTATATAGGTTTGCATGGGCGCTAAGGCCCATATACCGTGATTTTGTTGCAGTTTGTTTATGCAGTTGGAGCTGTCAAGTGCTGCATGCAGTCATCGGCTGCACGGATACAGCCGCGTATCCCAATTTGACAGGCATTGGGGTGCAGGGCTCTGTAAGTAAGTAGTGTGCACTTTGGGCCATACTACATCACTGTCAAATTAGGACCTGCTGTCCAGGCAGCCGCTGTGTCCCCATAGACTAAAGCTGGGGATACATGAAACAGATCCCCGCATCTCTACACTGCTCTATTTTATCCTGACAGTGGATTCACTGGTAGTAAGCAGCTTTAATAGGTTTGTTGATTTTTTTACTAAGCAACTCTATTGTTAGTTAGCATAGTGGGTATTATGCATACCTCTCTGACTGTCCATTTGACACTTCCGGGTCTGATGTCTGTTTGTTCCTGTATGCACTAAGGTTCCATCCTCTGGTCCCTACATCACAGCTGTGTCCTGTAGTCAAGTAGGGATTGGAAATGGAACCACAGTGTGCGACGGGGACACGTAGGCACCAGACACTCCATGAAAGGTCAAATGCTGAAGAGTGACAGAGGCTGCAGAGCTTCCACGGAATGAAGATAGAGGACATGGCCCTTCTAAAATGGATATTAAAAATCTCTCTTGCAGGGGCCGTGGCCAAGATGGCGACCTGAGCAGCTGCACTTTTCGGAGCTCTGCTGGACTTAACCTGTATTTATCTGGCTTTCCTGCATAGACTCACCTATTTATCCTCCTGATGCGCCGCCGACCATCTTGGACACCTGCCAGTAGGGGGAAGAAGCTCCGTTTTCTGCTGCTCGAGGAGGCTGACACCCCGACTCCTGGTGGCCACGTGGCACTGAGCGCTCGGCTCTGCCACAACATGGCATCGCAAACTTTACCACCTCATCGTTGGTCGTGGGCCATGGGAGTACTCTACTGCTCTCCATCATGGTGTCTCCCTGCGGATGGGCCGCTGCTGCCAGATGTGGGGTGCCTCCATTATTTTGCTACGATTTGTACTTCTTCGCTTATTTTTGCACCTGTTGTGTCTGATTCCTGTTGGAACTGTAACTTAAGGATGTGCCCCTGATTTTCCAGGTGAACTTTGCTATGTTTTATTTTTTATTTTTAATTTTGCACTATATGACTCAGTGTGTAGGCACTGACTGTTCAGCTGTTCTGCTATCTACTGATATACCTCACTCTATGTCTTGCTGCTACATCCCCATGCTGGTTGCTCTAGCCTGCTACGATGGGAAGGTTCCTGGATCTTCCCTTATGTCATCGGCCTCCATTGGCTGTGGTTGGGCCGTCAGTTCCGTCTGTCCTGTGTGCCACCTTATGTTTGTGCCAGGCCTGTGTCAACTCCTCTCCATTCTTCATGCAGAAGGGGATTCTCTCCGTAATCTTCGGAAAGCTGACAAGTCTTCTGATTTTCCTCCATATGACTATTCCGGCATCTACTGTGTTTCTCCAGTACCTTTTTTCCTTGAGCCAGTCCCTCTGGCTCACTTCTCCTTTCTTAGTGTTTTTGTCTTTTTTGGTTGTTGTTGTTGGGGGCTGAGGCATCACTGTGTTGGGGTTGGTGGTGGGGCATAGGTCATATACATGGTATATGTGTTTACGTTCTCTCTCCAGCCTGTTTCTCTGACCATTGTTTTTCCTTTGTACAGTCTGCTATCCGGGTCCAGCGACGTGGAAGTGTGGATCTCACCTTGGTTTACTCCTGCCTATTACTACTCCTGGCCTTATAGATGTCTCAAGTGAGGATTGTCTCCTGGAATGTCAGGGGTCTCAACTCCGCCATTAAGAGGTCCTTAGTTTTTAGGTTTCTCCAGAAGTTTAGCCCCCATGTCTGTATCTTGCAAGAAACCCACCTATTGGGGTCTAAAATTATGAGTCTCCGGATACCTTGGGTGAGTGCCCACTATCATATTCTAGATTGTAAGCTCGAAAGAGCAGGGCCCTCGATCCCCTCATGTTTTGCATTGTATTGGTATTGTTCTGTCACATGTTCTGTCCCCCTTTGTAATGTACAGCGCTGAGTGAACTATCGGCGCTTTATAAATACTGTATAATAATAATAATAATAATATCTTGCCACCTACTCTAATTATGCTCATGGGGTGAGTATCCTCATTCGTAAATCTCTTCCGTTTCAGGTCCATGGCGTTCGCACTAACCCGGATGGCAGGTTTGTTATTGTGCATGCTGATCTATGACAGGGAGCTGGTGTTGGTCGGACTGTATTTACCCCCTCCAGCCTCTGTTCAGGTTTTGAATACTATTATGCAATTGGCTGTAACTTATAACATGAATAATATGCTGCTGTTGGGTTATTTTAACATGGTCCCTTGCCCGGATCTGGATAGGATACACACAACGACTCGGACTTCTCCTAATTTACTATGCTGGGCCTCTATGAATCCTTTCCCCTTATGAAAGTTTGGCAACATCTTTACCCTTCGGGGCAGGAGTATACTTGTCACTCTGCTACGTACAGGACCCTTTCTAGGATAGATCTGGCGTTTGTATCTCCATCGGTCCTGTACTATGTTGGAGCAGCTAAGATATTACCTTGCGGGATGTCTGATCATGCTTCCCTATCCTTGACCTTGTCATTTTCCTCACCGCCGGGATGCAGGGTGTGGAGCCTTTCCAGATTCTGGGCAATGAATGAACGCTTGCAGGAACCTCTTGCTGCATATATCTGTAATTATTGTGTTCTGAATGGAGAGTCTGCTTCTCCCTTGGTGCTATGGGATTCTTTTAAGGCCTGGAATAGAGGGGAATATCTTTCCAGCATTTCTGCTCTCCAAAAGGAGGCGGCCCTTTGGAGGCTCTGGAGGAGGAGGTATCTGGTCTGGAGGCGGCATATGTTGCTGCCCCTGACCGGACCTGCTATGCGGCCTGGTGGCAGGCCTTGCGCCAGTTGGCTACCTATATGTCAAGGTCCTACCTTTTCCCTGAGGTTATGTTACTCCATGTGCTGGCGTCCATCTTGGATTTCTGCTGTGCATGGTGGGAATCCTTTTATGCCTTCAGGTCTCTGGGGTCCATCCCCCAGAGGGGTGTGGCTGATGACATATAAGCCTGTGGTCCGCACATGCTCTTTGCACTTGTGTCTTGTGTCTTTGTGTTGCTATTACTCTGTTCTGACTCTCGTGACTCTCCTGGTATCTGATTCGGCTTGTGACTCGACTATTCTTTGCGTTCTCCTTTGATCTGACCCTCTGTTGCTGAACCTGGCTCGTGACCTGTGATTCTCGTCTGCTGTCCTGTACTGTTTTTTCCTGTTGTTGTTGACCTGGCCTGTCTGACTACTCTTTTGTCTCTTCCACCAGCTACACGCCATTGGCGGCGGCCATTACCGCAGCTGAGGTGTCTCGGGGGCCGCGACCTGGTTCCTGGCTGCGTCAAGTCCATCCCCACCATCAGGGGCCCTGGTGAAGGGCAGCCTGGGACTTAGACTCCGCGCCCTGAGGGACTTCGGTCTGTGGGTGGTGGTTGTCGTCAGCCAGGGCGTTACATTGTTAGGCCTGCCTGTCCATTCCTCGGCCCCTGCCCTGACACTATAGAATTGCACAAACCAAAAAGGCTCTGCTTTCTTCTGCCTAGCACGTGTTTGAATACGGTGACAAAAATGGGAGGCTGCTTGCGTGGTTGGCTAGGGACAGGTCCCCAATGTTGCCCATTGGTTCTATTCGGGCTGCTTTTCGCGCTGAACTCTATTAACGCTCGCTTTTTGGATTTCTATAGGTACCTTTATTCCTCTCGTGTGTCCTTTTCTTCCTCTGAACTGCCTGCCTTCCTG